TTAAACTACCGGGGAAGCATATTTTGTTTGAAATAACGTTATGAATCAAAGTATTGAGATATTACTCAAGATCGTTAAATTCCCTAAGCAAGTAATTTTTTATTTAGAAATATTACTAAATAGTCAAGAACTTTTTTTATAAAATAAAGTATGGTCGCAAAATTATGCTATAAACTATGGTCAACGCCTTATAGTCTACCATCATTAAAACAATGACTTTATGTTCAACTATAACCGTCATCGCCTTATAAAGCATGCGATCGGTAAAATCGGAACGATGAAAAATTCAAAAAAAAAAAATAATAATAATAATAATTAAACTAATGCAAAAACTTCAATATTTATTTTAATCTAAGCAACTTAAAGATTATAAAAATATTTTTTATTTAACTATTTTTGATTATTTAGAATAAATAAATGAACATTTACGCTAATCGACAACTTCTGCACAGTGTCTTTGGCATATTTTATTCCTACTCATGTCCACTCCCTACTCTTTAGCTGAACTTGTTGTTTTACCAATACAAAACTTTTTATTACGCAAATATCCTTTGCTAATTCCTAAAAATTTCTGAATGGACGGAACTGTGGGCAGTTTGATGGATTTAAACTTTTTCGTATAAATTTGATTTCTCTCGAATTGTACTACTCAGGAATGCTTAGTTTTGTCAAACATTCCTTGATGTAATTATCCGAGTTTAAAGTTGACAATGTGACGAAAGCTCAAGATTTCTAACCGCTGAGTATTGCTTGGCACAAAAGAAGTTTTTTATCAAATTTATCCTTATCCAAATTTATTTAATTTTTTACCCTATTCATTTTTATTTATACTTGACCTTTTTGCTGACACTTTTACAAACAATTGAAGTGTAAATTTTTGGACGTGGGAGCTGTTTAAAGTCACATTTAATGTACGTTCGTCATTTATTAGCATGCAGCCATTAAATTTTGCAAGTACTTTGTCATAAAGTTTTCGAGCTTAAATTTTAGCAGTCAGTGATTGCTTATCTGATTGGTTTTAGAATATTCAATGGCTCAATTAGACTTGAAAGTTTAAAATTTCTTAATTTTCACGACGAAAAACTCTGAAACCCTATACCTTTTGGCTTGTTATCTGTTCGATAAGCCGGGATTTTGCGTGAATTATAGTCGATTATTAACTGCTGCTTTCTTATCCTTAAAGCCACTCTTTCTTCCAGATCCTTTTGCTCGTTTGATAGATAGAGAGCTCTTGTATCCGAATTTAACAATCATATGTTTTAGTCTATTATTATAAAACTATAACCTTATGTTCAACCATAATTTCTTAAAAATCGTTTTAAAATTAAAAAAGAAGAAAGAAAACCAAAAGAAAAAATTTGAAATATGTATTCAAGTTTTGTAATCAGGGCCGTCTCGAAGTGATCTTAAAGGCGGGTGGTTAGACACACCTTACAGAACATTTAGCCGTATCACCGTATTACATTTTCCACATCTTTTGCTTCATTGTGTACATTTGTCTGAAAAGCATTTTTTTAGATATGATGAAAAATATATATTTTACTATACACAAAATCATTTTACGTGAATTTTTATTTTTATTTATTTTTATATTTTAAATTTAGGTTTGAAGCTAATATGCTAAAATGATTATTGAAACAAACAATACTACTACGATTATCTAAAAAAAGTAATTATAACAAAATTGTCTTTTTCATATTTTACTTTATATACTCATATTTTAGGGTAATTGAATGTTTTAATATACACCTTATTTGTTGGTTTTTTTACATTATTCTTGTGTTAGTATGACAATAATTTTTAAATTAAAACATGATTTTGTAAAGGATTCTAACGTATGTAACGTATGTAACGTATGTAACGTTTCTAACAATTTTAACGTTTAGTACAGGCCTGTTTTGGTACACTTATTATCCCAGCAAAATAATAATTGTGACCCAATTCATTCTCTTACCGAAAAAAAAATTCTTATTTCAACACGATTTTTCTAGTTTATTTCTTTTTATTTCTCCTCATTTCAACGCGATTTTTCAAGTTTATTTCTTGTATCTTTGTAATTTACATTTTTTTTAAAACACTTCAGTAATTTAAACGAAATACTGATATTTATGAAGGATTCTTTACTTTTATTTTGGCTACATCATTTTTTATAAGAAAAGGGGCATCCATAAAGCACGTACGCAGTAAAATCATTGATTTATGTCCTCTTTCCCTTTTGTACGCACCTGTACGCTTTTAATGCCCCCCTAACATCTGAGTATATATTGCCTTCCTCTACGTATTCATTGTTTATCACAAAATTTAACCCCCTTCCCCAATGCATAACTTTTTCAAAACATTAAAAACTAAAAAACCTTTAGTTAATTTGACATTTCTCAGTACTTAATTTAAAATTGAGTTATATAAGAAAGTTATATACAAAAAGAAAAAAAAATATTCTAAAAAGGATTCTTGATGCTAGTATTTTGTATTTCGTCAAATTCTTTTGTTAAAAAAATCATGTTTTAAGAGAGATAAAAAACAAGAGATTGTCAAATGCATACGTGCTGACATTAACATCCTCTCCCTCGCATTCTTGCATTCGTAAGTTTTTGTGTAACCCACGTTTAACTGCGTACCTACTTTATGGAAGACCCCTAAGTCATTTTGATATTTTGCGGTGATCTTATAAATTAGCGAATCAATTGTATTACCTTCCACAAAAATATAGCCTAATTTGGTATAAATGCTAAAATTAATTTGCCACATTATTTAATTTAAATTAGCACCTTTTTTTGGCCTCTAAACTCGCAGTGGTTGGCCATGCTAGACTAGACATGGGTAAAGACGGGACTGATTAGATATCTTTTATTTAAAGGCTTATAAAAAATTTATTCCCATAAAAATAACTTAATACATGAAAAAAAGAGCAACATAGATTTGCAAATCCCCTTGTGACTTATTTTTTTGCCTGAGCATTTTCTAGAGTTGCCCAAATGCCAACGAACGACCAAAGAAGAAAAAAAATAATCCGTCCTCGTGCTCGCAAAATATCGTCAAAGTAGACAAAATTGATAGCATTATAAATTAAATTTTTTTGATGATATTAATCACATTACGCTCTCAAAGATTCTAGGAAGCTCTGCCGTCCTGAATATTTAAATCTTAGCCAGACGCTTGCAATATACTTGGAAATTCACCCAGGTGAACCCTGTACTAGACCCTAGCTACTAGATCCCTAGAGAAAGTTAAATTATGTTCGTTTTGTTTCACCTACAGAAACTAAAGTGAATAAATAATCAATGTTTTTAGTGTAATAAAAATAAATAACATGTAAACTTTTTTGAGTTTTTTAACTTTTTTAAAATTTGAGTCATTTTCCATTTATAACGTTGCAAAAAATTTTAATTTGCGTAAAGAACATCAAGTTTTACTAATATTATTGCTTTTTATAAACAAGCGCATTTTATATGAAAATAAATTTAACATATAAAGAATACTGAAAAAGTCTCTCTGAAGTAAAGAAAAATGGAGTACACTCTTTAATCTAGTTTGCTAAAATCGTCTTTGAATATTTCCATTTAGCCCAAATATTACAACCAAGATTAACAATTTTTTTGTAATCTTTCCAAGATAAGGAAAACGATATATATAAATATCAAATAGCATATAATCATACATCGTATTGAACCAGGACCGACGACACGGGTTTCGAAGTGGAGGGGCACAATCGTCAATTTTTTAAAAAAGATATCTAAATCTAGATTTTTTTTGTAAAAAAAAAACTTTGGTAAAAAAGTGTGTGGGAGGATGGGGGGGGGCAGTGTTCCTTATTTATTACTTTGTGATCGACTATTTTTGTTTTTTTGTTGTTGTTTTTTTTAAAAGAATTTTGTACTTTATTTATTAATATCTGTTATATATATATATATATATATATATATATATATATATATATATATATATATATATATATATATATATATATATATATTAGTGACGGATCTATATATATATATATATATATATATATATATTAGTGATGGATCTTTATATATTTATATATATATATTAGTGATGGATCTATATATATATATATATATATATATATATATATATATATATATATATATATATATATATATATATATATATATATATATATATATATATATATATATATATATATATATATATATATATATATATATATATATATATATATATATATATATATATATATATATATATATATATATATATATATGTATATATATATATATATATATATATATATATATATATATATATATATATATATATATATATATATATTAGTGACGGATCTAGAAGCGATAGGGATAGATATGCATCCCCTCCCCCTCAGAACCTGAAAGTCATAAAATATCTTATAAATTGAAAACCTCTTTTTTTAGGAGACGCAAATGTGGTACAAAATTCAAAAATATTTCGACATTTTCCCTTCCTTAAAAAAATTTTGTGAAAAACGAAGACTTGTATTCCGCTTTTTTTTTTTTTTTTTTGATGAAAATGAAATTCCTTGCCTATTTTTAGTTCTAACAGCGGAAATTCTAAATTGCTTGCTTAAACACTTCTACTAACAAAATCAAATATTTGCATTTTTTGAAATGTTTTTGTTGACAAAAAATAGTTTGCAATTTTTACATTAATTGTTTAAATTATAAATTAGTTGTTGTATTAAAACATAATTTTAAAACAGAAAACAAAGCAAAAATACGTACATATTTCTACATTGTTTTGAGTTAACTTTTTAACAAAACTAGTTTTACGTAATTAGTTTCTGATATTATAAAAAACTAAATATATAAAATGTTTATTTGGATTTCAGCCGTATTTTATGCTGTACAATCAAAAAATTGCACAAGGATATGGACTACCTAACTCTTTATATGTGTGCAATACATACACACTTTTTATAGGTGCCTAAACATGCACACATAGTTTTATTTTAGTGCTTATATGATTGATGCTTAGGGGTTGTCCATAAAATACGTCACGCTATAAGGGGGAGGGGGGTTGGTGATTTTGTGACAACTCATTCAAAACTCGCTTCTTAAGTGTTACGATTTAGTGACGAGGGAGGGGGGAGTTTGAAAACGGTCAAAAATTGCGTGACGTAATTTATGGACGACCCCTTTTATGTTTGTGTATTATATTTTGAGCGTCTTAAAAGATATCATTATTTAATAAAACATACCTGCATCTTCACCAAAATTCTTTACTAAAAATAAAAAATAAATGTGTTTTTGATTTTTTTTTAAATTACTACAATAAATTAACATATATTACTTTTCGGGTTTTATTTAGGGTTGTTAACCGGAGGATTTCGTGCAATTCCGGAAAAACAACATTCTTTCGTAACGAGATTGAGAACACGGAATTACATTTTTTCGTACCGAATGTTACAAAACATTTAAAATCGCCGATGTTCATTTCGCAAAAGCCACTTCTGAAATTTAGCATTTCGCAAGTTGACATACGAAACAAAACTATTTTGCAACATACGAAAGTAGCGGTTTCGGAAGTCGCACTTGCAAAACAAACATTTTTGCCAAACGACGTTTTGAAGTCTATAAAGAAAATTTGTTTGCCAGACTGATTTTAATTGTAAAAATTAACATCTTTAAATCCCAAAATGTTTATAATGAATTTTTATTTTCAGTAAAATAACTTATTAAATTTTTACGGTTTTATTTTTAGAAATATTGATAAAAAATAAAATTTCTTTCGAAACGAAAGTATTTCGGATCACAACATACGAAAGAATTCTTAACGGAAATAAACTTACGAAACGTGCCATAATAAATATATACAACGATGTTTTTTGAACTCATTACGTATATTAAAAATAAGAATGATGAGTAGGAATATACATGTTTTTTTTTTTAAAGCATATAAAATTTTCGAAACAGGTTCGAATATGCTTAAGCAAATAGTAAAAAGAGGCTCAAAAATATGCTTTAGCTTAAGCATATTTCTGATAAAATATACCTATTTCAATAATTTCTAAAAGTGTGCACGCTACTAAAATTCTAGCAGATTTTAAAGGTATGTAGAGTCCTGTTTGAATACGCTTTTCAAAGTATAGATCATAGAAAATTTTGTTTTTTAATTTTAATAAGATATAAATTTGAGTATAAGATTGTATAGTTCAATCAGTTAGATACGTGATAATTCGCCGCAGAGATCCGAGTTCGCATCCCGCAGCCATTGTAACTTTTGTTCATCAAACTCTTTTTACTTAAGATAGCATTTTTTGACCTCCATGTTCTATATTACAGATCTTTCGTCGCCTTCACAATAGTGACAACCTCTCTTCTGTTAGTTATTCTTTTAAGATTGAGTTCATTGTGCTTAATTCAACACGTTTCCCTTGCTTTACTAAGTTCTACTTAAATTATGATGAAATGTACGTAAAACAATTTTTTCAAATAATATAATTCATTTTGCTTTAAATCTTTTGCTTTTTGTACTAGACATCTGTCCTAAATACTTTGTAATAATTTCTAGCTAACTCTGAGTCTAATATAACCATTTCTGAATATAATTTCCCTGAGGCTCCTACAGCCTATTGTGTTCCATTAAAAGTAACTAGTTTTTGAGTCCAGATATTAATTATAAGCATCTAAAGGTTCACATTACTATTCATTTTCCTGATATATAGAATCCTATTTGCATACGTATCTCTTTCTGTAAATTCTGTTTTATATAGTTTCAAATTATATATTAAATAAATATTACTATTCTCTTAGTTGAATGAACGTATAGCTCATTCAGTTAAGACATTTGGCCGCGTAGACTCAGGTTCACATCCCGCTGTTTCACATATATTTCTTCTCTTTTTACTCTTTCTGATATCATTTACCTTTAGAGAGATCTCTCGTTCTTTATAATAAAGTATTTAATTGTTTATCACACATCCTCTTTATACTTTTTAAAAAGAAAGGCATACTGTTTATCTATTTATTGAGAGTCCAACTTAAGGGGCTTTTACTGTATATATAAGTATATATTTATATATATATATATATATATATATATATATATATATATATATATATATATATATATATATATACAACTATATACAGTAAAATCCCGTTAATGTATATATATATATATATATATATATATATATATATATATATATATATATATATATATATATTATGCGGCAGTGGTGTAGTGGTAAGAGCGAGAGGTTCGGAGTTCGACTCCCACCACGTCCCTGGAAGTACCGCGCTCAACTTAGTTTCTCCGCGCAGCGGCCTTGCTTGTCAAGGTTCGTGTTTCGGAGTTAAAGAGTTGAGAGAGGGTTGTACCACGAAATACAACAAAAAAAAAAAAACAAAAAAAAAAAAACAAAAAAAAAAAATGAGTAGCCTCCTCGACTGTAGTGGCCCCCTCGGGCCTTGGGGAGGTGAATAATGTAAAAAAAAAAAAAAAAAAAAAAAAAATATATATGAATATATATAAATATATATATATATATATATATATATATATATATATATATATATATATTAGGGCATCCCGTACTTTTCAAATTTGTTTAAAAAACTCGGCCCTTATGATTATTTTGCTATTAGATATATACATTAAAGAAAGACATAAATAAATTTATTAGAGTAAAGGCAACATTTGCAAAAATTGACCTTAAGTTTTCAAAAATTAACTCAAATGGGGAGGGGGACCAAAATCATATTATGCCTAAGATTATCCTATATCGATGGTAAAAAAAACTTTTAAAGCTTATTTCAATAATGTCAGTAAATATAAAACAGTTTTAAAATATTTAGAGTGGTTCTCAAGCGCTCCTTCCTTCAACAACCTTGACCCCCCAACCCCTTACGTAAGTGTAAGTGGTTTTATAAATGCTTACTTAATATATGAGGGTTATATTAGTTGAAAAGCAAAAATTAAACTCATTTTTCAATCTTTATAACTCTACTAGAGGTGAAAAAGAATGCTAAAATTTAATGAGGTCCTTCTTGCTGTTAAAACGAGGTATTATTGATCTATTTTCTGCTCTTGCACGAATAAATCCATCTCGTCTCTCAAAACCAAACACTGTTTCAGAAGCTGCAGTTACCTAAATAAAATAAACTCTTTTTTAAAAGTATTTTTAAAGCAGTAAATTTTTTTTTTCATTATAAACAACTAATATATTATTAAGGTTAGGGAAAGTTAATTTTACCTCCTTAACTGCCCTCTCAACTCCTTGTGTGTGAACAGGGAAATATGGAACTACCATAGGACAATCCAGGATTTTTTTTAGCTCATTTATGTTCATTTGACAGGTTAAGATAGGTTCATAGGCCGCTTCCCATGTTATTAACTCAATCAATTTGGTTGCACAAAGGTTTAAATGAGGAAGCTTATATGTTCTAGGAGCTAGAGTTCTTGTTTCCTCATATTTTCTAATTTCTAAAATTTTGTTTACAGCAAATTCCCTTTCAATTTTATTTTGGCTGCAAAGTAATGTCTGCAATAAGATTTCAGAATGAGAATTCCATGCTGATGAGCTCACATATTTTTCAATAACTTTTTGTACATTTTTATCTTGAAGTTTGACAAGGTTAAGTTGGTTCAAGATGTGCTGTGGCCCTTCTATCCAGCTATGTTTCACTTTGATTTGGAACCACATAGGGAAGAATACTGATACAAGAAACTTAAAAATTAATTCTAAGTTTCTTAGGACATCTCCCTCTAACCCATGCTTGCTTATCCACAATAAAAGTAAGGAAGACCCTGTATTGAGCCACCTTGAATGAACTATAGTGCCTAGTTTTTGGTTTGCCAAATCTTCAGTAAGAGTTCCTGAAATTACTGTCTGGCATATTTTATAAGCATATTTCTGATCGGAAGACAACTCCTTTATTATTTCCTCATCAAGTTCAATTAAACCAGGACCTAAAAATATTGGCTTGAAACTGTAATTTCTTTCCATTTCAGTAACCTTGAAAAGCAACTTACCAATTGGTCCAGAAAACCCTGTCTTTGAGGTTGTCTTCCCATCAAGCTCTTCTACTAAATGCCGAAAACAAAGTTCGTTTGTGTGAAGAGAGCATATTAGCCACCCTAATTTTCTTTCTAATTTAATTTTTAAACAATAACACCTCCATTGTGGCCTGTATTTGTAGCTGTGCTATCACAACCAATGAACTTTAAGCTATGTTCAACACAATGCAAAATAGACCATTGAAATATTTGATTTGCTATATGTTCAGCAGGCTTAATTTTTGATTTTTCACACATTTCTCCTTTCGTAAAATGATGAAGATATCTACCATATTCATCAGTCAAAGTATAGTGATCTTCCTTTTTAATTAAAGGATAAAACTTTTTAGTTTCTTTATTAAATGTCATTAAATTGGTTTTGTCACTTCTTCCATTAAAGAGAATGCAAGAAACATTCTCAGAATCTAACCTATTCTCTGCAAAAACCTGACATTCTGACATAACTTTATCTTTGGCTCTATGCACTTTGTTTTTGTCCAATAATAAAAAAAAAAAAAAAAAAAAAAGTGCTGATTCTGGAACAACTTTAGCTTCTACCAAATCTTTTAAAAATCCTGAAGCTATTGCAGCTGCAGCAGTGTTTGAAACTTCATATCTTATTGCAGCAATAGCAGTATTTTGAATCTTCATATAATTTCGCTTTAGTTTGAAATCATCACTTTTGTTTAATAAATCAATATGTTCAGTGTAACTTGAACATTCAAACTCATTTTTAGAGCACTCTTCTTCATCATTACTTTTTTCTGAAACCTCAGCATAGGTTTATTTTGAATGGATACTATTCATCATCTCCTTTTTTTTGAACTTTTTTAAACTCTGTTCCTTCTTATTACATCGCTCAAATGCCTTTGGCTTCCTTTTAGTCTCTATGTAGTCTTTTGATCCTATCATAATTTGAGACTGCTCTCCTTCTTTACTTCTCTGTGAGTGAATAAATCCTAATTCTATTATAGGAATCCTCATAGACTTTTCACATTTACAGTCAATATGAACTTTTTTTTTCACATCCCAGACAACTTGATTTACTACAAAATAAAATTGCACATTTGCAGTTAGTTATATCAAAGAGTTGTGACAAAGACTTCATTATTTTGTCAATTTCTACTTTTTTAGTTAATCTTTTTCTGCAAATATCCTGAACATCATTGTAAATTTTTTTGATCTTTCTGTCAATGGACTTATCTGTAAAAATAACTGGATGTGAAAAGTCTGAGTTTGCTTTTTTCCATTGTTTAACACCTTCTAACCTTGTTTTCCTAACCAAATCATCTAATGGATATTTTTTTTTTCTGACAACTCTTTAATGAGGATAGCTTTTCGAAGAACAGCACCATAAGTTGGTAGTTCAGATGGAACAAAGTCTCTACCTTTTCCTTAAGATAAAATTTTAACATATTATTATTATTATTATTACTATTATTATTGGCAATAATATTGCTATTATTGCTATGATTATTATTATTATTATTGTTGTTGTTATTATATTATTATTATTGTTATTTAATAACATATTAATATTATATCAATATTATTGTATTAAGATATAAGATTAGTATCAAACAATTAATATTAATTTTGAATCAGATCATAATATTTAAAAAATAGTATTTGTCAATATTATAATAATATTGACAAATACTATTTTTTAAATATTATGATCTAATTCAAAATTAATATTAATTGTTTGATACTAATCTTATATCTTAATACAATAATATTGATATAATATTAATATGTTATTATATAACAATAATAATAATATAATAACAACAAATAATATAATAACAACAATAATAATTATTGTTTTCATTGGCAATGTTATTGTTGATCAAATTTTTTAGGAGAAAATGTATTATTCTTAATAATTATATTATTTTAAAAATAATATATTCAAAAAAATATTATAAATAATTTCAAAATAAAGCAATTAGGTTTTTAAAAATTGTATACCTATTAAGTCAGACATTGCTGTGCTTGTCTTTTTTCTTGTTTTTATACCACTCATTTTATTTAAATAAATTTGTAAATTTTATTTTTTACTTCAACTATATAGTATTCGTGAGTTAAAGTTAATAAAAATATAAAAGCGAATTACAAAAAATATAATGCAAAAAATTTGAACATCAAGAACTTTTTTGTTTCAAAAATTCCTATGAAATGTAAAAAATTTAATTTTATCAAGAAGTTTTCACGGTTTTTTATTGCTTCCGCTTAAAAATGAATTGACGCTTCAAGATAATTTTAAGGTTAATAAAATATAGCAATAAATCAATTTTTGCAAATGAAGACCTATTAATAGCAGCTTTATTTTAACAGATTCTAAATTTAAATATTTTCTAGCAAAAAAATACCAAGGGCCAAGTGTTTATTATAAAAAAAGTTGTTTTTTGAAAAGTACGGGATGCCCTAATATATATATATATATATATATTTTTTTTTTTTTTTTAAGTTGATTAAGGTGCCCCAAGAAGTCCTCACGGTCTTATCACAGAGCACCGCGGAAGAGCATTTAATGGGAAGTTCACGCCTCCTTCCCAACCGATGTTGCAAAACTTGCTCAGAGGTGGGGTTTGAACCACGGATCTAACGTTTCTGAGGCAAGTGCGCTACCATATATATAATATATATATATATATATATATATATATATATATATATATATATATATATATATATATATATATATATATATATATTAGGTATATTTGTATAAACATTTGAAGAATCATTTGACAACATTTTTTTATAATTTTATTATTTATTATTTAAACTGTTAACAGTTAATATCTTAAATATATCGTAACATAAAATCTTTTGCGTCTTTTTCGTAACTACACATTCCGGAATGCTTTTTCCGTAAGGAACTATTTCGTAAGTATTCTTACGAAATGATTTGTTTCGCAAGTTTTCTTTCGCAATGCTTTATTACGGAATTTTATTTATTTATTTTTTCGTATAGCGCGTTACGGAATGTGCATTTTCGCATGTGCAACTTCCGTAATAACAATTCTATTACGGTAGATAAAAATGCGAAATTTTCGCAAGTTTTGTTTTTCGGCGAACAACCCTAGTTTTATTGCATTTTTTAAGTATTAACCAATATTTAAAAGAATGTTTACCTCCATCTTTGATTTTCTCTCCTAAAAAAAATTTTATAATTTTATAGCTGAATAAAAATATATATAGTCTATAAAAATATATATATATATAGTCTATAAAAATATATAATGCTATAAAAGTATATAATGCTATATATATATATATATATATATATATATATATATATATATATATATATATATATACATATATATATATATATATATATATATATATATATATATATATATATATATATATATATATATATATATATATATATATGTTTGATTAAATTTTTGTTTGTAAAGAGGTTAAAGTATGACGTCAAAATATAATAATTGCGCCAACTTTTTTGATGTTTATGTTGAGATATAAAATTTTTTACTATTTTAAGCTGAAGTTATTTAAATCAACAGGTTTTCAAACATAGTTCATTTGTTTATACAATAAAACAGTAACGTATTTATTTTTAGAAATGTGTGGTAAAAATTTTGGGGTATTTTTTCAACAGACTTCGATGAATGCAACTTTTTGCAAAGCATCCTCACTTGAATTAAGCATAAACATACCCAAGTTTATATAGTTTACTGTATATCTAAAAATCTTTTTTTCTCAAACACAAAAAATGCTCGTGCAATTTGTAGAAATCAAAATCGTAAATCAAAGTAAAATAAACGAAAACTAAAAATAAATTCGTCAAAAAAAAAAAAAAAAATTAGCAACTGCATAACGCAATGTTCTTTGATTGTTTGCAATCAACAGATAATACCAGAAAACAAATTTATATCTGCAGAACAATAAACACAACTTTTATGATACTATGATATACTTATAATTTTCTCTTTCTTTCTTTTTTTTTTTGTCTTTACTATTTATTTTTTCTAATATAGGAAAATGAGAGGATAGAGAATGGGACAAGATGATTTTTATATAACAAAAAAATTTTAAAATGGGTAAAAACAAAACTGTATTTGTTTCTTGTATTTTAAAACATAAGTTGTTGTTTTTTTTCAAACTTTGTTAACGTAAATTTATACGCATAAGTTTGTTTTTTGCGCTTAAAAAAATACCTTGGTTTCGCTAACTGCAAATAAATGATCAAATTCTTGAGTTTTTTTTTGTAATAAAAATTAATATATAATGTTCATAAGTTTGTTATCTTGCCCCGGTTGACAATATGACAAATTTGAGAATTTTACATTTTAATTTTTATTACAAACTTTTCTAACGTCAAACTAAAAACCCATGCAAACAAAAAATGTTGCTATTGTTTTGGAAAAACTGAGGATTTTCAAAACGTTCGCCATCTTGCCCCGTTTCTCTCTATTATATAGTTGATAATAAATATTATTAAAACGCATTAACAAATAAAAATAACATGAAAGTAACATAAACATACATACCAATTTCTTTGAAATTTGTATCTACAAAATAATATTAAAATCAAATTTAAAGTCAACTTTTCTTTAATGAATTTTTAATATTTATCAACAATCGTCAGGTTTCATAACAATTTTTATTTTTACTACCTTGAAAACTTGCCACGAACAAAAGTGTCATAAGAAACAAACTCATCCACATGGTTCTAAACAACGACGGAAATTAATTTAAATGTTTTTCTATTTAATTTAAAATATACTTTTTTAAATAGTAAACTAATAAAAAAAATAATATATTGAAAAAAATAAACATAAAAAGATAAAAAAGGATATTACTTCATTTTTGCGCTTGCTTTTTTTCTTCCTTTTTTTTTTAAAGTGTTTTAAAATAGTTCAAACTATTTAAGTCAATTTATAGAGAAAATAAAAATGTCATAAAAACTAGTTACTCTTGTTTCTAAAATAAAATTAACACGACAAAATAAACATTGATTATCAAAGCAAACAGTTAACTTGTTGTTTTAAACATTTGTTTAAATCAAATTTTACTAAGCAAATATTTACTCACCATTGGGCACAATAAGAAACAAAAACTTTATCATGTTCAGTGACCTATGCTAAGTAATGTTAGTAAACAGTAAAGTACAATTAGATTAATGACATTACAAAACTTCAAGTTTGTAATTAATAGAAAAATTATACAAAGTATTAAATATAAAGTTGATAAATATATAATACGAAAACAAAAAAATGGCATTTTATAAAAACATTAAAATTATTAAAAAGTTATAAAAAGTCTCTAGTAAAAAGAATTATAAAAAAATCTCTAATGAATAAATGAATCTCTCTAATGAATAAAAAAATACCTCTAATATGCAAGTTACGAATTATATCATCCAAACACAATAGCTTATAGCAATATAGAGATGACAAAAGATTGAATGTTTTTAGATAATTTTTATAGAGATACTTCCGGATTCAAATTTAAAATAGATACTTCCGGACTTGCAGCATTGAAGTCGTTGCTATGTTACTGTATAATTATTAGCGTTTTTTTTAAATTTCCCAAATAAAATTCACGCTGAGACACGTATATAACAGTTATCTTAACGTGGAATTTTACATACACCCAAGAAAATTTTTAAGTTACAAATTCACTTAAGCTAAAAAGTTGTCAAATCAATAAACTAACAACAGCAAAACTTTAAAAGCTTTTTATTTTAAAAGCATTTAAATTAAAACTAAAGTTTGTTACAAAAAATACATACATATATATATATATATATATATATATATATATATATATATATATATATATATATATATATATATATATATATATATATATATATATATATACATATTTATATATATATATATATATATATATATATATATATATATATATATATATATATATATATATATATATATATATATATATATATATATATATATATATATATATATATATATATATATATATATATATATATATATATATATATATATATATATATATATATGTAAATAATTAACAATCACTAGGGGTCTTTCAAAAAATCATCATCAGCAGTGACGGATCCAGGATATTTTGGTGTTTGAGGTAGCTAATTTCCAGACATGGAACAAACTACAAACATTTGTATGTCTATACTTATGTCAAATAAGAAGTGTTTGCAAAAAATTGCGATGATTGGAGGCTGGGAACAAAAAAGCCCTTTAACTTCATCTATATTTGAAATAAACATTCGTTTTTCTATAAATTCTTTTGAAAGAAAATCTTTATTGATGCTTTTTGTTTGTTTGTTTGTGTGCTGGTTTCACAACCTTTAATATCAAACCTCAATATATATTCACTAAAACGTTGTTTCAAAATAAGTTCTGGGAATTCCATCAGAAACTTTTTCAAAGTCGTGACAAATTTATTTTGTTATTAACTTTTAAAAAAGTTTTTGATGGAACTATTTTGTAAAATAAAAAAAGTATTTTGAAGATATTTTCAGCAGTATCAGCACAATATATATATTGTGGTTTTTTTTCCTCTAGCTAATTGGCTTATAGAGGCCACATACTGAGATCAGCAAAAGACAAGTCCACTATAGAGCATGGTAACCCGATGTCACGGACCAAGGTAAGTAAGTTTAAGATGCACATAAAAATATCAAGTAAAAGTCGGAAGTAATCAAGTTGGAAAAATGGCATAGAATGCAGACAGAGAAATCATTTAAAAAACACAAAAACTCAGAAAACTTTCTCATACTTAGAGAAACATCTGATAATGAAATTTCAGGATAGAGGAAACATCTGATAATGAAATTTCAGGAATAAGTATTAGCACAAACAAGGCCGGCGCGATAGGGGTGTGTATGTGTGGGGGGGGGTCGTCATGGCAGTCGGCAAATTTTGGAAAACGAGGACTTTTTTTTTTTTTTTTAGTCGACAAAATGTAGTGGCACCCACCCCACCCACCCCACGTGACACCTACTCGCGCCGGCCCTGAGCACAAAATACTTAAAAAGGAATTTAAATTAAAAAAGTTTAAATCTATAATTTCTTTTCATTTTCATGTTTATTTTTTTGCTCGTAACTTTACGCACGCTTCATTGATTCAGTGTTGGCTTTTGTTTGAGTTTTATTAAACAACTTTCAAAGTAAATTTTTTAAAATTATCTTTTAAGGTAAAACAAAAAGGTAATCCAAAACAAAAAGGTAAATAAAAAACAAAGTTGTATAGAAGTTGTATATTTTCTCTCCTGTAAAAAAATGAATATATATCCTCAATTTAAAGTTAAAAAGCAATGATTAAGTAAAGTGAGGCCATAAAATTAACTAAAATTAATTTTATGAAGTTTTTATAATATAGAACACGATTTTTTAAATTTAATAGTCACATATCTTTAGGTTGACCTAGTAATATCTATCTATCTATCTATATATATATATATATATATATATATATATATATATATATATATATATATATATATATATATATATATATATATTATATATATATATATATATATATATATATATATATATTTATACTTTTTTTTTTAAATATTTTTTCTTGTAATCGCGAAGTTACGCTTTTTTATGATTTTTGATAAATTTAGGAGCAATTTCCAAGCAATAGTGCTATTAGATTCTGATGTCAAATTTGTTCAACGATATTTTATTAATGTGTTCCTGTACCAAATAAAACCTTGTGTATCTTTTACTGATTAAGATAGATAAATTAACACTTTGGCTATTTTAAAGTGATTTTTTGTTGATTTTTGAGCTTTTTCTCAGTCATACAACAAAATTTATGATTTTCACCTCATTTCGGTATCAAATAATTTTTTTTTTTAAAAACTTTTACTAGAGCCTTGGATCAATTAAATCCAAATCCAAAATGGTTTTCTTAAAAGATTGGGTAGGACTTTCGATTTTTCTGTGTAAACAAAACTAGATCAAAATGTATCAATGTGAATAAAAAATATATATACACTTTTTCTGTGTTTTTTTTTTAATGCTCCAAGAAGACCTCATTCTCGTATCACAAAGCACAGAAAAGCATTTAACTTAAAAGTTTACGCTTGCTTTATGTCAAAAATAAACCTAGAGTAGGCATCAATCAGTGAAGGATCCAGCACTTTTTGGTGTTTGAGATAGCTAACAGACAAGGCGAAAACTCCAAACATTTGTATGTTTATACTTACGTCAAATAAAGAGGCTTTACAAAATATTGCAATGATTGGAGACTGGGAACAAAAAAACCTTAAAACTTCATCCCCCTGCCCCAAACAACAAGTTGGTAAAATATTATTTTGCTATTCTAAATTTTAGGGGTTACAAATTTTATATGGTCATAATTTTTGAACGCTTAGAAATTGTAAAACAATACTTAAAATTAATCGATGTATATAAACTTAGTTAAGAATAGCAAAAAAACTATTTTATTAACTTGTTGCTCTCACGTTTATAGCAGGGGGATAAAACTTTAGGACTTTTTTGTTCCCAGCTTCCAATCATTGCAACTTTTTGAAAAGCATAATTATTTGACATGAGTATACACATACAAATGTTTTGATTTCGCTCTCAATCACCAAAAAAAGGCTCATTAAACATCTGCCATTAGTCTTGTTGATCTTAAAGGTTTAAATTAAAAATAATGCAATGTAAATAAAATAAGATTTAAAATGACTCTGCTAAAAACTTATTACATTTAATTTGACGAGGTAAAATCAAAGTGCTATTTCTATCGATTTCATTTTTACTATATTTCTACTGATTTTAAGAAAAGTCTGTCACGGGAAAAAAAATTGGTTTAGAGTTATTTTCTTTTAATATTTCAAACCATTTTGGAAACCATAGTTTTTAAACAATTTGTTACTTTATGATATAAATTATTCTTAAAAAATAAGACTAAAATATTAAAACTTATGAACTTAAGTTTTGTTTTAAAAATTGCAGAATCAGAAAGTCGCAGGGCAAAAACCGCGATGCCCCGGAAAGAGAAATGCAGTCAACCATTCTATAAATCTCTTTGAGTATTTTATTACTCAGAATAAAAACCTGATTTTAGAGTAATGCAACTTGAATTTCAACCTGAATGCAACTTGAATTTCATGAAATTCAAGGCCTAAGAAACAGCTCCATATTTGTTAATTTTTATATTCCCGCATTTGTATATATTTTTTACAAATATATACTAATGCAATTAATTTTAAAATTAGAAATTTATGCATTTTATTTTTAAAAAAAGGTATTTTAAGATGAAGTAGTTTTATCTTTAGCTTACTATTTTTCAATCTTTTATGGTTTTATGATATAAATAGTTGATTTGCCGGTGTCATGAAATAAATAACCCCTATAATAAATTAACTCCTGTAGAGTAAAAATATATCCAGGGAGTTAATCTATTTCAGAATAGATTAACTCCCTTTGAAATAAATTAACCCCTGTCGGCGAAACAAATATACTCCCCATACTATTTTAACTCCCTTGGAACAACTTATACGAATTACGGAAAAAGTATTTCAAATTGATGTTTTCCAAATTTTTATATACTTGATGTTTTCCAAATTTTTCCAATATTTATACATTTGATATATATGTCTATTGAATATTTATGCCGATATTATATTATTAGATATATATGTATATCGAATACTACTATCTGTCAAATATTATCATCTATAAATTATATTAATTCGAATACTACCATCTATGATTTCTACTAATTGCTCTGTTCTTTTAAGAACATTCAGCACTCTATTTTATAGAATACATTTAAAATTATTGTTATATATATATATATATATATAAAACTTTTTTTCTTATAAAAATGAAAAAATGTTTTTGTTTAAGAGAATTAGCGTGTTCGTGTGGAGAAATTGGAGTGTTCGTGTGAAATATATATATATATATATATATATATATATATATATATATATATATATATATATATATATATATATATATATATATATATATATATATATATATATATATATATATATGTATATATATATATATATATATATATATATATATATTTATATATATATATTATATATGTATATATATATATATATATATATATATATATATATATATATATATATATATATATATATATATATATATATATATATATATATATATATATATATAAAGTATAATTAAATAGAAAAATACAACTTTATAATGGAACTAAAAGTTTCATGTCTATCGGCAATCTTCAGCTATATATATTATACAAATCAAGAAAAAACCGTTAAAAAATACAAAATACAAAAACAGCAGTAAAATGAGTTTTGACGTCAAAACAAAACGAATAAAAAAGAAGCATAGTTGTAAAACTGCTAATCGCCAGTGTCAAATTGGGCAAGAAGAAATTTGTTTTTATGCCGGCACTTAGATAATATTTCACTCTTATTTAACAAATGTGTTAGTATCACTGTGTTGATATCAGAAGATTGTTAAAACATTTTAATCGAATGATCTTCTGATATTAAGGCAGTGCAACATAAAAATCGTAAATTATCTGGACATTACATTAAACCTCAACAACCACACCAACCAACCTTACTCCAAACCCGGAAACTCTTTAAATTACATTCATGCTGAATCAAACCACGTATCCAGTATTTTAAAGGAACTCCCACATTCTATTGAATTAAGATTATCAGCAAATTCGTCAGGCGAGGAAATCTTTCAAAAATCCACTCCAATGTATAATGAAGCATTAAAAAAGTCCGATTTTAATTACAATCCTTCTTACCAACCTAACTTAATATTATCTCACACCAAGAACCGTAAACGTAACATCGTTTGGTTTAACCCCCCTTTTAGCAAAAACGTCAGCACGAATATAGGAAAAATATTTTTAACATTAATTGGTAAGCACTTCCCTATAAATCACAAGTTTCACAAAATTTTTAACAGAAACACATTAAAAGTAAGTTATAGCTGTATGCCGAATATGAAATCCGTTTTAAACGCCCACAATCGCCATGTTATAAACAACAAGAAAGAATCAGCTGAAAATAATTGCAATTGCATAGATAAAAATACCTGCCCTTTATCAAACCAATGTTTAACAAAAAGTATAGTATATCAAGCTAATGTATGCTCCAACGATGTTGTTCAAACTCCCATCAATAAATTTTACATTGGCATAAGCGAAACATCTTTTAAAATTAGATATGCTAACCACATAAAATCTTTTAAAATTCCCAAATACAAAAATGACACTGAATTATTAAAGGAGGTTTGGAGATTAAAAGATGAAAACTTAAACCCGGTTGTTAGGTGGAAAATAATTAAACAGTGCGATGCCTATAACCCTGTAACAAAACGATGCAACTTATGCATAAACGAAAAGTACGAAATTTTATTTTTTAAACACCCAAGTTTGTTAAATAAAAAGAGTGAAATATTATCTGAGTGCCGGCATAAAAAAAAAATTTCTACTTGCCCAATTTGACACTGGCGATTAGCAGTTTTACAACTATGCTTCTTTTTTATTCGTTTTGTTTTGACGTCGAAACTCATTCTACAGCTGTTTTTGTATTTTGTATTTTTTAACGGTTTTTTCTTGATTTGTATAATATATATGGCTGAAGATTGCCGATAGGCATGAAACTTTTAGTTCCATTATAAAGTTGTATTTTTCTATTTAATTATACTTTATATATATATATTGATCTATTTTGTAAAAATTATTTTTACATTATATTGATCACTCTCAAGTAAACAAGAGGATTTGGATCTCAACCAGATACAATAAATAACAACAACAATATATATATATATATATATATATATATATATATATATATATATATATATATATATATATATATATATATATATATATATATATATATATATATATATATATATACATATATATATATATATATATATAGTTGAGATAGCTAACTAGTTCGCTATATAAACTCTATAATATCAAACATTATGAGAAGAAGCAAGAGAAGGTTCGCTGAAGTTCGTACAATATTATTATTTTGATCACCATTTTGTTTTCACAACAATATACAAACTTAGCAAAAATAAAGAGTTACAAAATAATTTTATTTAACGCTAACTGAAGATGAGGTGAGTGAAAGATACTATGTTAAAAAGATATATTAAAATAAACTATTTACGCAACTTATTAGAACTAAGTAGTTTTAAATAATTAAACTTTTATTAAGTTCTACTAAGTAGAACTTATTAAAAGTTAAATTATTTAAAACGCAAATTAAAAGGGGTTAATTTATTACGATGAGGGTTATTAAAATTAAAATGTTTTAACCGGGAAAACTTTTCGGGGAGTTATGCTATTTCGTGTCACCGGCCTAACCGATTTATTTACGGCTATGCTCTCAGATTTATTTATGAAGTTGAAGTTTTTCGACATGATGGCAGGAGAATTACTTTTTTTTATTTTATTTAAATTTTATATATATATATATATATATATATATATACATATATATATATATATATATATATATATATATATATATATATATATATATATATATATATATATATATATATATATATATATATATATATATATATATTAGCATTATAATATTGATGCTAGAAGTTTAAACATTGAAGTCATTACATGGATTAACTAACTTTAGAAATTCGGCTAACGGTAGTTTTGTAATAGAACTTTTTTGTTTAATTTGCGCGTTAATTCGCTTTAATTAAATTTCTATTCTACATTACCATAACAGAAAAAAAACTAATACTGTTTAAATAAAAAAAAATTATTTTTAATATCGAAAAAAAAAGTTATTTATACTAAAATAAGTAAAAGTATATAAAGTTAAAGTTTCACAAATTGTTCGAATGTTACCATGCATGTATAATACAAAAAAAGTGCGTCTATGCGCGCTTCTTGTAATAAACATATTAATTTATAAATATAGGTTTATATAATTATTCCATTCCATATACACGTATTTCATTTGTTATGGTACTACCTATGTACATAGCCTTCTAAAAAGTAATAAGGAAACCTAAAGAAATAGCCTCTAAAACTATACCTATTTTTCGCATTTCTAATGGCTTATGGATAAAGACGGGAAATCATGTGATTTGCGTAATACTATTACTAATAGCAATTGTTTTTGGGGGTAAAACTTGCTCCTCACCGTGCTATTGTTATTTCGCAATGTATGATAGAATCTACTTACCCTGATATATGTATGTCTATGTATTTCGAAAATGGTGTATGTACTTGAATTTCGGTTTAATTTATTGTTTTTATGCGTTGTCAGTTTATTTTCGTTAAACAGTTTATGCACAAATCATTGAGGTTTTTGTGCCTGTTACTTAACCTGTTACAACAACTGCATGTTTGCTAGGAACTTATTTTTGTCCCAGAATAATTTTTGAAATGATGAAGATAAAAAATTGTGTATATTGATATAAATGATTTCAATTAAATTCTATATTTTTATATTTATTACTTTATAGACATGTATACATTTTTTGTTTTTTTAATAATATTAATGCTTATTAATGAATCAAAACTAATATGCCCGGTATGGATTGGAGAAGCAGGTCACAACTACAATATTAAAGAAAGGTTTGATGCTGTGCGTAAAGATAGTAATAAGTAAGTAGTTGAACTTTATTAATTAGCAATATATATTGATTTCTTACATTCTCTTTTTATGAACGCACTCACACAAATATATATATATATATATATATATATATATATATATACATATATATATATATATATATATATATATATATATATATATATATATATATATATTTATATATATATATATATATATATTAATGTATATATATATATATATATATATACATTAATGTGCAACTAACAACTTGGAATATGCCACTAACAACTTAATATATATATATATATATATATATATATATATATATATATATATATATATATATATATATATATATATATATATATATATTAATGTTTATTAATGTGCCACCAACAACTTAGAATATGCCACTAATAACTTTTGTATAATGAGTAGTCTTGATTATGCAAAAGAGTCAAATGTTATCAAAAAATACAAAAAAAAAATTAACTTAATAAATTAGTATTGATCTGGTAATAATAAACTACATTTTTTAAATGATCCATTATTGCGCTTTTAACAATGTTTTTTTATTAGTTTACAAAAGACAAAGATATTGGACTTTTCGATCTTCTTTTTTTAAAAACAGTAAAATATTTGTTTCTAATCAATATCCCACATTTGAAATAAGTGGTTAAAGATCATACATAGTGTTTTAGCTGAACTGTCAGCTAATTTATTTGAAAACTTTGAATTAATATATATATATATATATATATATATATATATATATATATATATATATATATATATATATATATATATATATATACATATATATATATATATATATATATATATATATATATATGCATATATATATATATATATATATATATATATATATATATATATATATATATATATATATTTATATATATATATATATATATATATATATATATATATATATATATATATATATATACACTTACTAAAGCGTATTTTTATATGCGTTTGCTCACTTTTTTTGCTTACCTTAACCCATACAGCTTTTTTAGAAGCTGAAGCCCCCAGCAGCAGGCTATTATAGTATGACATCAGATTGCTTACCTTAGTATGCAATAATATTTGTATATATATATATATGTATGTATGTATGTATATATATATATATATATATATTTATATATATATATATATATATGCATATATATATATGTATATATATATATATATATATATATATATATATATATATATATATATATATATATATATATGTATATATATATATATATATATATATATATATATATATATATATATATATATATATATATATATATATATATATATATATATATATATATATATATATATATATATATATATATATATGTTGTAAACCTGATCAAGACTAATGCAAGAAATTTAGTAGTAATCAGTTGGTAATATCAGGTTATTTTCATCGGTTTCAAAGTTATTGCTAGCATTTGTAGCTGTTGAACTATCTTCTTTGGGTGAAATTGATGTCTCAAAGGTTTCGGGTGGTTGGATTGTTTTTCTTTAATGTAGGTAATATATCATCTAGCACATGGTGCTAGATGTCGTGTTGGTACAGTGTCAAAACTTCATCACCATAGTGTGGTGATGAAGTTTCAAGCAAAGTGACTGGTTCTACCAATGGATCTCCTTTCAATCAAAGGTGATTTTTATGTAGGACACTACTACCCAATTCTAATAGGAAGTCAGGTAGATCATTATTGTAGAGTTAAGTCTTTCACATTGCCCATTTCCTTGTGGTCGATATGTTGTTGTTCATGTCTTGCTGACACTGTTGCCTATAAGAAAGTTTCTTAGTTTTCTTTCTTCAAACTGAGTACCACGATCGAAATGAATGCAGGCAGGGGTGCCAAAGAGAGAAATTATTTCTAAAATATGTTTTATTACTATATCAGAGGTGATTTGGAAGCAAGGAAATGCAAATGGGTATCTGGAATACTCGTCAATTATGACTAAAAGGTATTTGTTTGCTGTTTTTGAGGGAAGAGGGCCAACAAAATCCATAGCGAGTCTTTGCCATGGTCTAGAAGAAATCATTCGACCAGGCGGGGATTGAAAAAACTAAGGTTTGAGCTCACAGCAGAAATTATGTCTCTTATTTCATCGATAGTGTAGGGTAAATTCCGTGTCTTGCAGTAATGGTTCAATTGTGTTACTCCTGGGTGGCATAGTTTGATATACAGTTTTCATAGTGTACTAAGATTAGTATTTATGGCAAGACATCTAGAGAGTGCATTTGCTGCAATATTTTCTGGTCCAGATCTATATGAAATATTAAACCAATACTCAGATAGTTCTAATCGCCAAGTTGTAAGTTTGTCACTTTGTATTTTAGAAATTTTTCCTGGATTAAAAAGAAAGGAAACAACTTTTTAATTGGTTAAAATATCGAATTTCGGAGCAAAAAATACTAGGTGTCTCCATCAACAACAACATTCCATAATAGCCATTGCTTCTCGTTCTATGACAAATTGGCGACTTTCAGACCTTGATAGGACTCTGGAGAAGATCGAAATTTAAAAATAGCAGTAAAATCGTTCGCTGCTATTTTAAATGCTAAGAGGCTTTTGTCGTGCTCTTCTTGATTAGATCCGCATATAATAATGTCATCTAGATAAGGGTAAGTTTTTTGTAGTTGGTATTTTGAGACAAAATTATCCATGATGCGTTGAAAGATGGCTACTGCATTTGTGCATCCAAGTAGGAGTTTTTTAAATTCATACTGCTTTCCAATAGCTTCGAAGGCAGTCAACGAATAATCTCTCTTTTTTAGTGGGATTTGGTGGTAAGCATTTTTTAGATCTATTTTACTGAATATACTGTTTATAGCTTATTTAGTAGGTCATCTATTCTAGGACAGGGGTAAGGATCTAGAGGAGTATGTATATTTATGTTGTTGGAGAAGTTGATTACTAGAAGAGGTTTTTTTGATAGGGGCTTTGACTGATTTTAATAACTCATCATTTAAGAGCCGAGTAGTTTCACTATTAATCAAGTCTGTATTCAGATTGTGTTGTCGGGAAGATGTTGCAAATGGAGTGAGTAAAGATGTGTTGATTCCAGGAATAAGTTCATACAATTTACATTTCATAGAAGATAGGGCAAGGCAGAATTGGATTGGTTTATGTTTTCCTCCAAAATGAAGTGTTAGAGCTGAGTGTTTATTTCAAATGTTTATACCAATAATAAGAGGTGATACTAGCTGTTTTACTATAAAGAGTTTATTTGAATATAAGTGGTTCCCTATTATTATGCTGTCGTGTTGGCCAGTAATTTGTGCGGGTAAATTACAGATTGATTTCCTGATATTTGTGTTAAAGTTAAGATTGTTCTCAGACATAAAATTAAGAGAGATAAATGATAGGTCAGAGCCTGTGTGGATAAGGGCTTGTACTGGTATTCCGTTGACTATTGCATTTATCAGACCTGATTTTTGATTTATTGAGGCTAAGATTGTGACCGTATGTGAGATGTTATCTTGGTTGATGTCATTATTACACTCATAATTTGTTGCCCCACCCTTTATTGGTGTTTTATTTGGATGTTTTGGTTTTATGCTGTTGTTTTGATTTAGTTTGTTACTTAAGCAGACAGCTGCCCAGTGTCCTTTTTTTCAGCAGGTATTGCAAGTTAAGTTTTGGGCATTGCATTGGGACCTGTCAAGTTGTTGACCCCCACACCAAATACAAGAGTGTTTTGTAGCCGCAAAAATAGGACGTTCAGGTAAGGAAAAAGTTTTAGTGTCTTTGATTGCTAGTTCTATAGTTGTTGCTGTAAGTAAAAGTTTTTCTAGTGATTCGTTAGATGATTCTAAGAGGCGCTGACGAATCATTGGAGATAAAAGGCCAGCTACAAATGCATCACTTATTAACATTTCTTTATGTTCCTTTGCGGTTAGTGGTTTTATGGGGCATTTTCTTACTAAAGTTTGTACTTTTTCCATGAATTGGTCAACAGACTCTGATTCAAGTTGTTTTGTTTATCTTAGCTTGTGACGCATCATTATTGGTGTAATCTTTTTTGAAAATTTATTGTCTAAAATAGTTATTGCATCTTCAAAGTTCAATTAAATCTCGATGAGTGGGAAGGATTTAGCACCACATAGAACATATAAAACATCTAATTTATCTGTATCTAATACTTTAGCTTTAAAGATATATGTTTGTAGCATTCTTTTCCAATATAGGTATTCTTCTTCTGACAGTTCATCTTGAAGAGTTTTTTGGAATATTTTATGATCCATTGTGTTAATAAGATAATATAATAAAAATGGTTTAGACCTGATGAAGACTAATACAAGTAATTTAGTAGTAAGGTTTTTATTATATTATCTAAAATATAAAGAAACACAATATACATAATATAAATATAATAACGTAATATTGCAATAACACTATATATATATATATATATATATATATATATATATATATATATATATATATATATATATATATATATATATATATATATATATATATATATATATATATATATATATACCAGGGAATATTGTAGATCACTTTCGACAATGTTGAACGTATTTGGGTGCTGCCCAAATTCAAAATTGAAAACCTTTTTTTTTTTTTACGGCAATATTTTTTCTCTGGAATTGATACCCAAATTTTTTTCATTGATTAGCCCTATATATATATATATATATATATATATATATATATATATATATATATATATATATATATATATATATATATATATATATATATATATATATATATCAAGTATAATATCAACTTGATATATATATATATATCAACTTAATTTCTCCGCGCAATGGTCTTGCTTGTCAAGGTTCGTATTTCAGAGTTAAAGAGTTGAGAGAGGGTTGTACCACGATTTACAAAAAAAAAAAAAAAAAATGAGTAGCCTCCTCGACTGTAGTGGCCCCCTCAGCCCTTGGGGGAGTGAATAATTTCAAAAAAAAAAAAAAAAAAAATGTATATATATATATATATAT